TTGGGGCGTGGTATCAGGGGCTGGTAGGAGCCACGCATAGCCCATAAGGCTAGGGTGCTTGGGGAGCACCCATCATACCGGGTGACCACAGGAGTCCGGGAGAACCGCGGGGACAGAGGTCCCAAGTAGCCGTGCCCAGGGAGTCATAGGCAGCCTCCCAACTAGATATATATATTCCAGCAAGACGTGGCGGGCGAGAATTAGAGGGTGCCTTGGGCCGGCCTGACACGGAGCGAGGGACCTCGAGGAGCACGCAGCCCTCCGCGAGGACCCTGCCGTGACAAATGCTTTTCTTAAATTTGTAAAAAAAAAAAAAAAAAAAGTCAATTAGACTAAAATAAGACTTTGCCCTATGGAAAAATACCAACATGCCTGAAACTATATTTCCAAGACAGTTCAATTTAAAAAGGAAACATGATTTTAGAATAAACGTCCCTTTGTCTCTCACTTTGGCTGAAAGCTAGCTACGTGGATCTTCCCTCTTCCCTTGTTCTGACCAGTGGAATTTCTTTCCTTGAGTTTATTCACATCTTTCCTGACTCCTGGCTTCAATCTCAAACTTGCGACTGCACTTCAGTGAAACACCCAATATCTATCTGAGCATCCTCACCTCAGTGTGCTCAAGTACTTTTTCAACTTTTCCTCTCATCATCTAAGTGCCTGTTCTATATAACACCAGCCTCACCACTGTTAGACTGAACTTTATCTTCAGTGCATTTGACCTTATCACATACATTCCTGAAACTTCTTTCAATTTCTTCCATCCTATTTTAATTCTTGCTTACTTTTGCTTAACAAATGCCTTCACCATTTAATGTAGGTCCCCCACCCTTGAATATTCATAACTATTGCTTTTCCATCCATATCTGTGACTGGCCATGCCTTCTGTTTTTCCAGTGTTTATTTTTAGGCCATCTTTCTCCAAATGTTTCTCTTCTTTTTCCTCTGTTGTTATAGAGGATAGCCTGCAAATAGCAGGTCCAATGATAGAACTATTTAGCACATCTATTGTAGTAATAAACCAAAATGAGTTGGCACTGAATCCTTAATGTAACCCAGTCTTGATGTCAAGGTTTTCTGTCTTTCTCCATGAAGTTCTGACCTCTCTCCAATTGCTTCTTCAATTCTGACAATCTTTTCTGACACTCCTTTCTTAAGAAAGTACTAGTGCATTATCTCATAGGGATCTCTACTGAATGCTTTCACGTCCGTGTATGTGTCATATCGTTTCTTATTTCTCTTTAGGAATTTTTCTTGTGGCTCTCTAATAATGAGTACTGAATCCATGGCTCCTTTATTTTGTACAAATATGAGTAAATTCATGATCCTTTCAAAGACTTTAATCAAACATTCTACTGGTTTTATTCATGTATAGTATTCACATCTAAGGGTGAAGTTACATCTTACACTTACACTATACTAATAGCACTTAAAACACAAATGTCCACATGTTAAAGTTTGCTAATTCCTGCTAGGTGCCCTCTGAGCATCTCAAAGATATGTCTCTTCAGGTGAGGGTTAACTTCTTTCCATCTCTATCATGCTTTACATTTTGCAGTCCGTCATTGCACATCCTTCCACTTCAGTATCTTTTTCTTGGTATTTCCATACACTTCTGCTGTTCTCAGCATTTTCCAGTTCACTGTACTTCATTCACTCTCTAGCTTTTCAATTTGTATAGCTTATTCTCACAGCTTTATCATCTTTTCTCTGTAATTTTTAATATTCTTTCATTTCATACTATAATTCTCCCAATCTGTCCCTCCCTTCTTCCCTCCCACTGTGTCCACAATTAGAAGTCCAGGTTGAGTTGTCATCACTTGCTGTATGACTTTGCTGTTTATGAACTTTTTCCTATACTTTTGCCTGGCCAAGAGATAATCTATTTGACTTTTCATCACTCTTACAGGTGATGAAGTGCTTCTCTCTTCTGAAATGTAGTACGAGCAATAAATAGTTGTAGGCCTTCAGCCTTTTCCAGGGTACTCTCTTTTCTTCCTCATTCCTAACTCCATATCCCATTCCTTCATGCACTACTACAAAAACATTAATGTACTTTCCTATTATTGTGCTTCCTCTCTGATATTTCTCTCACTTAATCTTCAGGATCTCCTGAACTGTTCTCCCTCTTTCTTTTCTCTGCCAACTTGTGGCTTATACCCTAATATTATGTTGGAAAATCTGATATTGCTAACTTAACATCCATCAACCTGGGCAGATAACTGTTAGAGCTCTGAAAATCATTACATTTGCCTGTTCTAGAGCAGAACCATCACATTGTGTGTGCAGTCTGCAGCAGCTCTTCCTAGTAGAAGGTTGTCCTTTCCTGTTACTTTCAGTAAATTATATTATGGTTTCTGGCCAGCTTGTTGTTCAACTTACCAAACAGCACACCACCTATCAGTCACGCTCAGAAACTCAATCACATGATTTTTAAGGCACCTTAATTCCTTTTCTTTTCTTGCCTTTTCTACTATAAAAAATCTGTTATTCTGTTCTTGCTCCCAGTTCTCTTGCACTACTGACTTTCCATTATATATTAGGACAAATATGGGCCATCATAGTAAAACTTTGGAACTTGTACAGCTGGATGATTTACAGTAATCAGATTGTTAGGTAAATCTGACTGTAAACTAGAATGTTAAGAACAAATTTTGTGAGTTTTTTAAGTTTTAAACTTACTTCAATTATCCAATAATATCCAGAAACATTGGCTTACCAGATTTTGTTGACAAAGCCAATAAAACTGCTGGAATTTCTGAGACATAAGGAGCTGAGCACTTCCAACAGCACTTCGGATCTTACCTAGAACTGAACATGGAGAAAGATTATTGACAATGGATGACTTGAAAGTCAATGCAAAATTATAGTTAGATAAAAGAAAGATTGCACTGTTATTCTATTTCAGGATATTAATACCTAGTTCCATGTCTTTTCTGCAAGACATCTGGAGACTTTGTGGGCCCCTATTCCCATGGCATCAATAAAAGAATACATTAATAACTGGAAATATCATAAGGAAAGGTTGATATAGGAAGGGTGGGATCAACTACAACTGTCTCCATTAAAGAAATCAAAGGCTTGAGAAAGTATTGGATAGTTTGAGTTTGCCACCTATGTTTCATTTTTAAGAAAAACCATTACATATCCAGTAAATGACACAAAAACAAAGCTCGGTCCTAAACAGGAGCACTCCAAAAATATTTTGTCATCAACTTTCTTGTATGACAATGTACTTATGTATAAACTTAACTTCAAATAATTAAGCAGGGCTACTGAAGTCAGAGAGACTAAGGGATTGTCATAAGCACTTTTCCAAACTCCATAGTACATTATCATTTTTAGCGTTATCTCACAAGCATAACTTTTCTAGCTTTCTTTCGTGAACACAATTAACAACCTGGAGATCCACTCAAGCCTCCATTGTGGAATATGATTAATCATACTTTTCATAAAACAAGCAGTCCATTTCTGAGTTCACATCCTTTGTCTTCAAAAGAAATCTACACAATACTTTCAGGTGGTGTGCCTGGGGACAAAAATTCAGAACTTTATTGGGCATTAAAATAATGGACTTAACAGAGACATTGGCTTTATGGCTCACTGTAAGGGCTATGTTACATGTTAAACTTCACATGTGTTAAATGTAGTTAAAGCACAAGCATCCACATGTTCAAGCAAGAAAACATGTGCCAAGTGCACTCATTCTGCCACATGAAGAGTATCTCCAGCCTGTCTTCAGGAAGCTATGTTATGTTATCATCTGACAGCTTCACAGAGATATTATGAGCAAAGTCCAGTCCTCCAGTATCCAAGAGCGCATTGAGCCCAGCCCCTCTACTCCCATGGATGAACTATCTACCTGCCAGTACTCTTCTGCCCAGTGGAGTGGTACCAGCCCTAACCTGACACTGCTGCCCGCCTGTGAGGGACCTTTGTCACTGCTCTAGGGAAAGTGGACTCATGGAGTGATTTTACATTAGCGGCAGAGCAGGGAGGGAATGATCTGGCTCAAGCAACTGCTGCTGGAGTGGTGTGTCCAGAATGCCAGGCAGAAGCAGTGAGGACCAGCATGGGGTGGAGGCAAGAAGGGATGCATCCCAGTGGTGAGGCTGTACATTGCCTTGACTCCCTCCCTCAGGAGGTGCATTTCAGGGTGCTGGTAGAGTGGTGCGTGGATGAACATAACCTGCATCCGAGGGCTGCCTGAGCTGGGAAGGGAGACACTCCCATCCCTGCCCTGCTGGCACACCAGCCTTGCTACCTGCTCTGCCTGCCCTCCAGCTTGGCCCAGCCAATAGCTGGAGAGAGCAGTAGGTGTGCCTGGGAAATGTAGTCTGTGGCATGACTGCTGGGACACCTGCTCACTAGCCCTCTAGTGGCAAGTCATTGCTGTGCAGGTCACAGATTGTCAGAACTCTTTATAAACCTTACTGTGCTACTGCTCACAGCTTGTACTAACTTTAATACTATGTAACACTCCCAAGATTTAGCATGTGTGAACTGTAACATGTAGCAACCCCTCTAACTTAACCTTTCACATCTGTCTCTAACTTCTCTGCTCCACAGGTGATAACTGTTCACTTTAATTTCAAGTGGTCAAATTCATTAACATAATTAAGTTAAACTAAAGTAATTGTTCTAATTTGCACTTAGATTGAACTGTGAGTCTTTCTTTCCCACACCGGATGAAGGGTGTTTGAAGCCTGAAAGCTTGTCTGCTGTTTTTCCCACCTATACAAGTTGGTTCAGTAAAACGTATTACCTCCTCTCAAATATCTGTTCATCATACCATAAATGTATTTATAATAAAATGATCTCTCTCTGGTTAGGGGCTTATGCTGTATCCATTACCATCATATCATTCATCCTGTTCAGACCATAGACAGCATATACTGAAATGCATATATCATTGACAAGTCTTAATGAACCAGATTGATAGTGGTTAACAACCTACTCCAAAGCCCACAAGAATCAATAGGAATCTGTACACCAAGGTTTGAACTGACCCTAAATACAAAGGTGTTTCAGAAAAACTAATGGCAATTTTGAAATAAAACCATTTTGTGTGCAATGTTCCTCATTTACTGGACCACATTATTTTGTAATGTAATTGCTCTGCTTTGCAACACAGGTATTCCAGTGAATCACAAGTTTCTTGATACCATCTTTAAAGAAGTTTTTTGGTTGCTGTGACAGCCACTCCTGTATCATAAGCTGCACTTCTGCATCGCTGCCAAATCTGTGTCCATGAAGCGTCTTCTTCTACAATCCAAACAAGTGATAATCACTTGGAGCAAGATCAGGGCTGTAGTGACATTTCAAAGCCCAGTCAATGCAAAGTCTGGACAGTGTGCACTGTGCAGCCTTATATTGTCAAGTTGAAGAAGAGTACCTTACTTGAGCTCTCCATGCTGTTTGGTCCAACTAGCTGGCTTCAGGTAGTTTTGGAGAATGTAGTAGGTGTTGCTATTGATTATAACCCCATGCTCCATGGACAGGAAATGGTTCAATGTAAATGAAAATCCCAAAACAGGATGAGCAAGAACCTGCCAGAGGGTGGCTGAGAATGGATTTTTTTAGGAAGTGGTGATGATGTGTATTTCTACTGTATGCCTTGTCTTTAGGTCTCAGGATTGTTATGGGGAGCCCAGGTTTCATCTCCAGTGATGATGCATGAGAGGAACCCCTTACCTTAATCTCGTACATAGTGCAGAAGTTTAGTACACACTTCCACACATGGTCAGTTATATACATCCATCAGTTGCTTTGGCATTCAAAGGGCACACATTTTCTAGTAATTCAGGTGAGCATGCAAAATGGTATGGATACTGTCAGCTCATACACCTACTTCAGCCACTAGTGAAGGAATGCTTACTCAGCTATTTGCACACAGTCATATTGACTTGGGCAATGGTGTCCTCTGCTGTGGCTGTGGTGGGGTGTCCTGTTCAGGATTCATCCACTATGGACATCTGGCCATTTTTTAACTTCTCAATCCACTCATAGACCTTCTGTTGAGCCATACAGTTCTCACTGTATTTTGTCACAATCCTATGGTGAATTTCACTAGGCAGTACACCACTGGCCCACAAAAAACTAATGCTAGAATGCTGTTCCTTGGTGTACACTGACAGCTTCCTGAACATGTTGTTTACATGCTCAGCACCATCACAAGTGTTCAGTATAAAATGATTGGTGCATTCAACAATGCTGTCATTGGTTTTCCTGCTGCTTTGTAGTTTCCCAGTTTGTCACAGACATACAGCATAGGCAGCCATTTTGCTGGTAGTTTCTGAAACACCTTCATATATACTGCAGGTAACAGATGTTCATTAACTATGGCTATGCCTGGTTTACTGTCAGTACTTTAACATTCTACTGATTAATTAAAATAATAGATCTTTCTGGAATATATTTATATTTCTCTCTCTCTCTGTATATATTTTGGCTTCATCATAGTAAACAGCTTCATTATATGGTAAGTTTTCTGACTCTGAGGCTAGGGACAGAAATTCAAAAAGCCTAAGCCTGAATTGATTCAGTCTTTGTAGGTTAGTCTAACCTGGCTAGGCTAAACTGGTTTGTAAGACATCCCTGCTGGACTGAAGAAATGCCAGCCCATGCCTGCAGTGGCTCAGGCTAGAAGTCGGGGGGGAGGGAGCATGACAGCAGCCCTCCCTTCCTCTCCATAGTTCTGAGCTGAGGGGGGTCATGGCCAGGCCCTCACAGGATGTTCTGATTAAGGAGGGGTTCCCTGTCCCACTCCTGAACAGCCCAGCAGGGAGTTGATAACACAGTATTTATCATCCCTAACACAATGTTTATCAGCCCATTAAGAAAACAAGAGGCTCTCTCATTAGTTCAAGCTCTTCTTAAACAACTTTTTCCAAAGAAGGAATGGAGGGACATTACCAGCTACCTGCTGATTAGCTCCAAAGATCCCTAAACCAACACTGTCCTGTCTGCCTTTGTTCCTGTCTCCCACAGCACAGACCGTAGCCATCATGTGGTCTGCTAGCTAATGCTGAGAGGTAACTGTGTAAGGTAGAGGGGAGGGGGGAATCCCTACTTGAGCAGGGAGTGGTGGGGGGTAGACGGAAGAGCAGCAGGAAGCCAGGCAGATGCCCTGTACCTTCAGTCTTTGATTGAGCTGCAGCCAAGGAGCTGAGGGGAGGGGCCAGCCCTGCTAGCCTGAAGCAAAGAGCAGAGCCCTACCCAGAGTTGCAAAGCATCTCAGATACTGGGGGATTCTGATTTAACTTAAACCAGGAAGGGATCTGGGACAGACATTGCATAAACCGGTTTGACCAAATCAGTTGTCTGATACTACATTCAACCAGTTTTATCTCAAACCAGTTTCAGCCATATTCAGACTGCTTTATGTGCACTGAACATCTGTTCTGTTACAGGTTTAAACCAGTTTATGATCACTTAAACCGTTTTATGTGTAATGTTTGTCCCTAGCCTAAGAGTATATACAAACATAGTATTTCTCCCAGGAGAAAGCTTTCTGTTATACAGTTCGTTGTCTCACTCTAACTACATGTGAAGTATGCAAGATAAAATGTGCTAACGCTTTTTCCTGGAACAGCATCTGTAAGTTAACTGAAGCTCATTCAAATTAATTTCCAATCATTCTAAGGATAAGTCAGGCTGTGTGTGCTGTCCTTATCCACCTAATGGCAGAAGAGCAGCAATCCAGCTTGGAAGGTCTATGTGTGTAAAGACTGTGCTGCTCCTCTTTTGTCCAGGTTTTTGGCTTGGATCAATCACAGCCACCTTAATTAGACCTCTATTCACTGTCTAAC